TTACTATTTTCGTCATGGAAGAGGGGCATATAAAAAAAACTCGAAGCCTAAAAAGTCAAAAGTTTTTTAAGCATGAAAAACATAAAGTTCAATGTATTAAAAATAACTGAATTTTTTAGTTACACTATATAACAGTATCAGTAAAAATTTGTCTACTGATCAAGAAGAAAAAAAATTACTGCACTTTAAATAAATAATTTTTTAAATTGTAGTAATTTCTAATATTAATTGATTAAATTAATATTATTTATTAATTGAAATCAAGAGTGATTTAAAGTGAAATTTTATTTTATTGATACGATAAAAATAATGTATTTAAAAAAAAATTTAATTCCATACCTCTTAATTCAACGTTTAATTATTAATTTGAAATGATATGCATTCTTTATTATATCTAAAGTACAGTGTACTTCCATCTGCACTGATAAATATATTTATAGCGAATGAGCCAAAAGTTTTGAACGTTCAAATGAACAAAATATTTTTTGCAATCTATAAATTAGTAGAAATTATAATGTCAATGTAAAATAAAACAGTAAATTAAACAAATATTAAATTAATAACTTCTTTAGATATTTAAAACAATATTTTGTAATAAAATTCGTACTTAAAGAAGTTACAAAAAAAGATTTTGTTCATTCGAACGTTCAAAACTTTTGGCTCATTTATAGCGATATTAATTTTAAATTCCTAATTTATCTTATAATATCTAGTGTTTCTAATTTGGAATTTATTTCGTCAACAACTTTTTATTGCTTTTTTAATATGTGATACAATTGTTATTTTTTTATAATTAACTTTAATTAAATAAATTAACTAAAATAATTAATTACGTAACTTTAATAAAATAAATTAACTGACAATAAATAAATGAATTAACTTTAATTAGATTACTTAATTACCTAATTAATTGCCTAACTTTATTCAAATTAATTAAATAAATAACTAACTGTAAATAAATAAATTAAATAGTTAATAGACATCAAATTAATTACGCAATTAACATTTATAATTATTAACATTTTATTAATTAATTAAAATTAATTTACGTATCTTTATTTGTTAAGTAATTAACTTTAAATAAATCAATTAATTAACTTCAAATTAATGTTTAAACAAATATATCCGCTTTATAATTAATTGTACAATTTATGTTATTTTTTGTATAAAGAAAAAAATTGAAAGGTTTATATATTGTCATCGTTTTAAAGATGACAAATGATAAATCAGATTTCTATTGAAAGCAATTTTATAGAAATAAACAATCATTTTTCCAATACCATTTTATGGTGAAATTGAAAAAAAATATTTCAAAATTATGACTTTAAACTCCAATGGATTTCAGTTTAGTTGTACATATCCATTGGAATTTCAAATTTAACGCTAAATGATATACTTCATTTTCATCGATGTATCAACTATTTTCTCTTATTCAGAATTTTTCTATATAATTACAATCATACTAATTATTATAAAATGTTACTTTTTTAAAAATAAATAGACTTTTAAAAATTCTTTGTAAACAGATATTTGATATCAAAAATATGAATAAAAAATTTAATAAAACAAACTTTTAATATTATAATTCAACTATAATTTCATGAGTGTAATTAAATTAATCCCTTGATTAGCGATCAATATTATTAGCTTTGAAGCTTCTTGCAATAAAGTTAATAAAAAATTTATAAAGTGCACTTTAAAAACGATTAAATATTAAAAATTTATAATAAATATGTTTTATTAATAATTAATTAAATTATTAAATTATTAACTATTTTTCCATAAAATAAAATTATTAATTGATTCATTAATTAGTACACTGAAAAAAAAAAATTATTTGATTTAAATACTCTATTACTTGTCTATTATCAAATAAATATTTATTTGAATTAAATAAATTGTATTTCAACCAATAATTTCTGTATTTAATTTAAACAAATATCATTTAATTTACTCAAATAAAAATTATTTGATAATAAATTATTTGATAAATAAATTAATTTTATTATTTTAATTTACTTTTAATTATTTTTACTTTTTTTCAATTTTCTTGCTTATGTTATCAGTAAATTTAAAAAAATATAAATAATTTGTATTTTTAAAGTATTGTATCCCCTCCGAACGACATCTAATTGAAATCGTGAGAATTTTGTTTTAAATTGTTAACGATCTTAAATGCTAGACAACCTTTTATTTCTAATGTAATTTAACGTGAATACTTTTGTCTTTCAAAATAACCGTCCTTGAGACGATTTAAAAAAACGAATCCATGGCTGGTAATGTTAACTCAGAACATTAAACGCGTTTTTCTTACGAACAGGATTTTAACAATAAGATATCTTTTGTCAGATAATGTACTTTATTTAAATAATAAATAAATATTAATATTATTTTTATAATAGCAAACAATAATTTTTATAATAAAATAATAATAATAATAATTTTATAAATTATTATCATTTAAACAAATTCTTTTATTCTGCAAAAGATATGTGAGGGGTGAAAAAAAATGTTATCGTTCACATTCAGAGAAATGTACCACAAAAAAACAGTTCAAAGCTCAAAAATATAGAATTTAACGAACGTGTTTTTAATTCAATTGTTATTATTTTCCAATTAATTGCCGTATCCGATGTCATCATTGACGCATAAAATCAAACATTCAAACAGACAAATCAATGAAATAATATAATCGAGTTAATTTTACACAAAACTGATTTGTCTGGAGAATGAAATTTTTGCTCTCTTTTTATAAAACTGATAATAGGATAAAAAAAGTTAAATAATGATTACAAAATTTTATGCAATCATTTTTTTTATACAAAATGTTAAATTACACTCTAAATTTGAATTAGTTAAAACTGAGCTACTAATTCACATTAGTAAGAATTTTTACTAATTTTTAGTAAAATATTACTATTTGATTTAGTAGTTCAAATTTTTTTTACTAAGGTTTTAGTGAAAAGTGACTAAAAATTAGTGAAAATTCTTACTAATTTTAATTAACAGCTCACTTTTCACTCATTCAGATTTAGAGAGAAAATGAAATTACACCCCTGTTTTGTTTGAAAATTTATTCACTGGATCTCAAGAAAAAAATTTTTTATTTAAGACAACTAAAAATTTCAATTATTCATAACTTTAACAAAAAAAAATAATTTTAGTTTAATATTCCCAGACACTTATTTGATTATACAGTAGAATTAAAAAATACAATTTAACATTGAATTATTCCTTTTTGAAAATTATAAGTGATCCGTTTGAGAAATTCTAACTCTATTATCAAATTATTTTTTTCCTATGACAGAGTAATTTTTTTCAATTTTATTTATTTTATGCTCAAGAGATGTGAACTCGGATATGAGTGAGCAATGAAAAACAATTTTAAAAAAATAGTTTTTGGTTGAAAATTAATTTTCTTATTCTTTAGGTGATACGTGTAGGAGAAATTATAATTAAATTTCTTTCTCCAGAATACCATTGTTTAGTTGAGGTAACATAATAATTAAGGTATTTGTCGCGTGTTTACTAGTAAGAAGTTGCTGTCTATTAAAATACGTTTTACATATAATAAATATGCAATATTTATTTATTTGTTATAGTATTATATATCTTTGTATTTATTTGTTATTTATTTTATTATTTTATTTATTATTAAAAAATTAAAGAAAGTTAAATATAATTAAATTATTCATTCTAGTCGAACAATAATAAATCGAAACTAAGTTTATTATTCAGAGAAAATAGTAAGTAACTGATAAAAAAAATTTGGATAGTTATTATGTAAAACGTATTTTAATAATACCGTCTACCGGGGCTATTTTGTCAACCTAGGGGCTATTATACACAATGCCTGTTTTTTAAAAATAAAATCTTTGTTTTTAAATATTTAAGCTTAAAGCTTTGGGTAAATATATAGTCTTATTGTTTTTCTACAGATGGCACTGAATATAATTATTTTATTTTTTAACAGAAAGCAGAAAAAATGGCGTAATGTTCCGAAAATTAGGTTAAAATTTTCAGACGTGGGCAAACTTTATATAGTATTTTTCATAAAGTTTTTGAGTTTTTCGCAAAAAATATTATCAATTTACTTCTGATGATGTATACGACGTTTGCTAACTTTTTATTGCATATTTTAAAAGAAAAGTGTAGAAAACAAAAAAAATCAGAATACTCGGGGTAATTATAAACACTTTAAAAAATCAGTTATTTATTAAAAATTTTGTTTGTAACAAATAAATAATTTTAAAGTACATTAGTTTCTATGATACTTTTATGTCAAAATACTAAAAATAAGTAAATTATGAGATTGCATGGGATGCAAAATAATCTTAAAAAAAAGTAACTTTAATTATTATTAAGATATTTTTTAAGTTTATTTTCACACTTTTTTCTTAAAATAACTTATAAATATTAGAGGAAACCATATTGCGGGTTATTTACTTAATCTAAAAAATATTAATTTGCTGTTTTTTAAAAATTTTAATTTTTAAACTTTCAAATTTGTTGGCATAATATTTTAATTCCAAATTTGTTACATTATTCCGTGTAAAAAATTATTTTTTGCTTCTTCTTTTTTAAATGCCCCAGAATATCTATAAAAGAGATTGTATATTACCAAAAGCCATCAAAAAAATGTTCACTCTACTTTATAAAAAAATAGTGCAGAATAGCCCCAACCGAGTGTTATTAGACTACATTACTACAACTTCGACAAAAATTTTTTTTTGTTAAACCACAGGAAATCAGAGTTATGTTCATAACGTAACTCAAAATTTTTTTTTTTAATTCTGAATTTTAGTGAAGCGAAGACTAAAAAAATGGCTTTTTCTGACCATAATAGCCCCGGTTGACGGTATAAATATCAGTCAACTTTACCTGTCGTACCTATTTTGTTTAATGATTTTTCAAAATATATTTATGTTAATACTATTTTAATATTAAAATTTTTTAGAAAATTTTAATGAAAATTTGATTAAAATTTTTTCTATTCTCACCATAATCCGGACGAGTGACCGCTTGCACCGCCTGTTCATTTTTCTTACTGCGTATCACTGGTTCGCCGAGGATAGTAAAGTTTCTTGGTCCTACGCGATTCACAAACACTAGATACACTTTACCCCTTTTAATATTGGCCCTCACCACTCCACCACTTCGATTATCTTGTTGTTTAATTCCTGCGTTATTATTGTTGTCATCATATCCACAGAGAGTGGATTTTGTTGGTGTGGCCTTGTCACGGAAGTGCAATCTGACGCTATCATTCTTTTGCAGAGGCACAAAGCCAGTCTGACTCTTGTAAACCTGTCTTACCTCAAAGGTAACGGCATAATTTGATCCAGGCTTCCTAAGGGAGGACATACTTCTGGCCTTCCCTTCAAATACTGTCGGAGCGAGAAATGCCCTATTTCCAACGTCCATATCGGGACACCAATTTCTACCACGACAATTATTTTTCATTCGACACCGTCGTCGTTGCTCACGAGGTGAATCTGATTTGGTGCGATTTTTTCTCATTGTAATTGATCTTGAAATTCTTGGTACCTCAACTGATGACGAGGAAGATTCTAAAATTTTACTTAAATTCATTATGACATTATTTTCATTCCAATCAAAATTTCTTCCAAAGTAAGTGTAAAAATTGGCTAAATCTAATTGATGATGATGAGATTTAGATGTTTTTTGATTGTATTCATGGGGATTTATCGGCGTAATACGATATCCAAAGTCATTTTGAAAAATATCTAAAGACCTTGTTTTTGGTCTTTGATATTGTTGAAAGGTAATTTTTGGATAATTATCAAATGGGGACCTCGAAAGCTTAGCTGGGGGTGCCGAGGCAATGGCAAAGGCGCCCCAACAGCCGCTCAAGATTCCGGCTAAAATCAAAGATCCCCACATTATCTAACTTTGATGATCTTTGACTCGGGGTGAGGAGACCTCTACTACCCCGAAAGGGTTCCTCACCCGGAATCTTTAAAAAGAGTTCTTTTCAGTGTTTCTCAATTCTCAAAAATTATTTTCATTGACATTTGATTATACAGATAAAAACAAAGGCGTATTCCTTCACTTGTGTCTAAAATTTAATGACTGTGAAGGCCTCTCTTTAAAGTGACCCTTCAAGTCAAGTTGTTTATTTCAAGAAGTATTGTACCATTGATAAATGGTGAGAATTCCCAGACAGTTTTGAGGGTGTCTAGCCTTTATTTTTTGCGGTACCGTTTTACTCTTCATTTTGAAAGAGTTTTGCGGGTCACCGCACACACTAGTCCTATTAAGGACAAGACGCGCACTACCGCAAAATTTCCAACTTTAGTCTTATATATTCTATCAAGATTCCACTATGACATGTTAGTTTTTTTTCATTAAGACAAAAATATCCCAAATTTAGAATTTACTTATTGACATAGATAGTTGACACTGTTTTTAAATCAAGAAGTATCGCGTTGCACTTTACGAAGAAGGATCTGCTTGTCGTCTGCCTCTTTGAATCTTCGCCGCTGCTATTTAAATATCATCGTACGTACCACGTAAAGCGCTTCTCAATTTAGGTGTCGGCAAAAATGTTTCAATGAAAAAGAGCCATGAAAAATTAAAAACAGAAAAAAAGGAATTTATTTATTAACACAATCAAATAAAATTTAAAGACACGTGGTTCACCAGATAACAAGGGAGGAAGAATATTGAAAAAAAGGAGGAACACATTGATTTACACTGAAATACTATTTAAATATATGAGAATTAAGTCTTGTGAGACAAAACATATCGGAACCTCGTGGTTCACGTTCATGTCTCGATTTATATATGAGTATGTATGTGTGTGTATGTGTGTGTAAAAAAAGGTCGTCGTTAACCGCCGACACGCGGATGCACGCGACGGTTCAAATTAGACTGAACGTCCCGCTCACAGAGGCAAAGGCCGGTCACAGAGCTAGCGCTCCTCGTGGACGCCGGTCGAGGCTTTGCGCGCGCAGGCAGCGACAGTCGCGCGCGCGACGCGGCGGTCTCCGGGACAGCCTTTAGAACCTGTGTAACAACGACCTAACAACCGAAGAGGAGCCGCACGCGCGATCTTCTTCCATCTCACTCGCACTTGATCTTCATTCTTCGTGTGTCCCCTTTCATTCAACACCCTTTCCCCCCCATCACTTGTTTCTCTCTTATACTCAGTCCACTGCCTTTAACCTCCCACCCGCTTCAAGACTGTCTGTCTGCTGTTTATACTGCAAATCTCGTTTCTTCCTACTGATTCTTCCACCCTGCCACAATCTATAAACGCTTTCCTCAATTATCATTTTTCAGCTCACTTATTAGACGCTTATACTTCTCTTTTTTTTACGGACTTCTACCGTTTTGCGTCAACAAAACTATATTAGTATTTTTCTTACTCTTTCCTTCTCAAAACATCATTTTTTTAAAACAGTAAAATTAAATAATGTGCAAAAATTTTCCTGAAACATGTCAAAAATTGGAAATTTTTGTAAAAATACGCAAAATATTTTTATTTTACAGTAATAAATTGATTTTTAAAATATTAATTAAATTAAATACTGAATATGAAACAAAAATATGTTTTTGTACAATTTTTTATAACAGTTTTTAAAAATTTCGTATCCATACTGTTTCTTGAAAGTGGTGTTAACGGTTATATAGTAAAAAAAACCGTAGATATTACATTTGATAAAAAATATGAATTATTAAAAAATGCGTACACCATTTTGAATTTGCCATTTTCAATTTTGAAAATCTGTCATCAGATTAGTTATATTAAAGATCCTGAAGACTCCTATAGAAGTATATTTACCAAGTAGTTACCTACTTCGGATTCGTTAACAGAGACCCTGAAAACCCCCAAGTAACAAAGTTCAAGTGAATCAGGGAAAATTTTAATATTATGTTCGCCATTTTGGATACGCCATTTTGAATTTTTAAAATCTGTCTTTATATTCATAATCCGCGATCCCGAAAACTCCTGAGTTACAAATTTCAAGTTAATCCGGCAAAATTTTAAAAATATATCCGCCATTTTGAATTTTTAAAATCCGACTTTAGATTCTTAATTAGCGACCTAGAAAACCTCCGTGTAACAAGTTTCAAGTGAATCCGGTAAAATTGTAAAAATATGTCCGTCATTTAAAATTTTTTAAATATGACTTTAGATTCGCAACCTGCGACCCCGAAAACCCCCGAGTAACAAATTTCAAGTGAATCCGGCAAAATTTTAAAAATATGTCCTCCATTTTAGATCCGCCATTTTGAATTTTTAAAATCCAACTTTAGATTTGTAGTCAGCGATCCCGAAAACCCACAATTAGCAAGTTTCAAGCGAATTTATTGAATTTTGAGATATTGCATCAATGATTATGATCTTACTCTTGGCCAATGTGAAAAATGTCTATTACATAATTTTTTTATAGAGTTTAAATTAGGAAAAATAATGTCAAACTTAATAAGAACTAAAATTTTTACATTTGGGCGTTAATGAGTTAAGAAAACAATAATGTTATAAAATATTGTTGGCATAAAAATAAAATTATTTTATTTATGAAAAGTAACAAAATGTTCAAAAGAAGAGAAAATCATATAAACCTCCTACAAGTTCTAAAAATATAAAGAAATTTAATCAAAAGTCAGTTTTATTACACAAAACAGTCTATTAATTAAGAGGGGAAATAGGTGTATAGAACGGCGTTTTTGCATTGATGTTTATGAATTTTTTTAAGACATAAGGGATTTATATAAATTATTGCTATTGTGAGGTTACATTACACAAATATTTGAGAGTATATTCTGATAATTTTCATATATTTTCACCAAAGTGTACACAATTTCGAAAACAGTCGTTTCGAGAAAAACTTGTTTGAAAAAAAGTGTCAGAAAAATTTAACCCTTTGAATCACGCAATTCGAAAATAAGCAAAATGTTTCAAACAGTACTGTATAGGGTAATTGCACTAATTGCGGCGAGATTCGAGTCAAAACACCTTTGAAATAGAAAATTCGACATTTCTATTGTATAAACTCAATTTAAGACTTATTAAACTTAAAGCTTATGTTATTAAGATATTAAAAAAAAATTTTAACTCTATAAAAATCGATTATTTAAACAAATATGAGAAATTAAAACTAATACCGTAATTTTCTATTGCGGCGAGTTTGTATCAGTTTCGGTGTATCAATTTCGGTGACCAAAATTACGTGTATTTTGAAGATACTTTGCCCGCCGAAATTGAAGCCAATGGAAATCTTAAAAATGTTTCAATTGCGGAACGGAAAAAAATTTGATCTCAAATAATTAAATTAATAATTGTTTAAATGTGCATCTTTATAAGTATTTGTATCAAAAAAAGATTGAAATAATTTTTTTTAATCATTTGGCAACAGTTATATTAAATATAATAGTAATAATAGTTATTTTTTATGAACGCGCCGTAATTGGTGCACTCGCCGTAATTAGTACACTTACCCTACCCTGTTGAAAATTCCTGTGAGGAACACACAGGATCTTATTTCGAGTTCCTTCATAAGTTTCCTCGTATGTTCATATGTGGTTTACCACACATAATGAACTTGTGTGTGAACTATCATGGTTTCCCACATGTTGAAAATAATTACAACAGGGGCCCAGATAGCACGTAAACTTGCTGCAAGCTCGCGGCAAGCTTGCTGCAAGCTGGTCTGAGCTAGCGAAATGTCCCACCCAGGGCAAGCTTGCCGTGAAAGCTTGCTGCAAGCTGATCTGAGCTAGCGAAATGTCCCAACCAGGGCAAGCTTGCCGTGAAAGCTTGCTGTAAGCTTTCCAGAAAAGGTTGCTGCAATCTTGACATGAAAGATTGCTACAAGATTGCTGCAAGCATACTAAGAATGATTGCGGCAAGCTTGCCGTGAAAGATTGCTGTAAGCTTGCTACGTAAGGTTGCAGGAGAATTTCAACAAGCTTCTGGAAAGGTTGCTGCAAGCTTGCTGCAATTTTAAAAAAATACATTTTAAATTTAAAAAAATTTTAATGGTTTTCTAAATTTGAAAATCCTTGTGACGTTTATTATTATTAATTATTATGTCAAATGTTTAATACATTTAAAAAAATTTATTCCTCTTTTCAATAAGTATTTTCATATTTTAAATAAATAAGATCAAATATAACAATAATAACATTGATTAATTAACAAATAAAATAGAAAACACAAAATTTCTATTTAAAAGCATATTGAAAAAGCCCGCCGTTTTTCAACTGTTTTTCAACTGATAAAAACAGTCGAGGGTTAAGAGCAAGATTTTTTATTCTTTGATAGTTGGTTGAGTAGGTTCTCGGTTAGGGTCTTTGATTAGTGTATGTCGAACCCGGGTTCAATTCCCAGTCCCCTCAAATTTGTTTCGAAAATTTTCTCGTTAAGTTTCCAAATGAAAATAAACAGGACATAATTAATAATAATAAACGTCACAAGGATTTTCAAATTTAGAAAACAAATACATTTTTTTTTAATTTAAAATGTATTTTTTAAAAATTGCAGCAACCTTTACAGAAGCTTGTTGAAATTCTCCTGCAACCTTACGTAGCAAGCTTACAGCAATCTTTCTTAGTATGCTTGCAGCAATCTTGTAGCAATATTTCATGGCAAGATTGCAGCAACCTTTCCTGGAAAGCTTACAGCAAGCTTTCACGGCAAGCTTGCACGGTAAGCTTGCCGCAAGCTTGCTGCAAGTTTCCGTGCTATCTGGGGGATCTCACGATTTTTCCTGTGTAAGATCATATACAAGTTCTTTTATAAACAATTTTTAATGTAAGATCCCACGTAGTATCCGAGGGACGATCTTGTGTGTGTTTCTTCATGGGATCCCCCGGGATGAAAAATGTAGGTATTCCAAAAGTAAACTTGAGTCACATAGTACTCGAATAAGTATTCCTCCGTGCCAAAAGGTAGACTGTGGAATACTTTGAGAAAAGTTACTAAAGTAAACTGATGGTATACTAAGATCTACCACATAGAGAGAAAAGTATACCGTTCGTATACATTGGGATCTTATATGAATTTTTCCAAATTATCTTGTAATGAACTCCAACTATAGAGTTCTAATGGTGTCTAATAGATGTCGCATTGTCATATAGACAAAAATTCTTCTTAGTAATAAATGTAAATAAAAATAAATAATAATAAATGATAATTAATTTATTCATTGAATATTTTTTGATACATATAAACACCAAATATACACAAAATTTTTTATATAATATGTAATACTTAATTAATTAATATACAAGTTAAATAAATAAATAGATAAACATAAAGAAAAATAACTATCTGAATTAAATATTTGAAGCGATAAGTAATATGGTATATCCTTTATAAAACTCATAATTCCGTTCCTGAAAAAAATGTCAACTTTAAGTTGCATTCTAATCAATGATATATTTAAATATTTTAATGTTATTAAATTATTTTTCATAAAAAATTTTTGTGTCATAATATTTTATACAATAATTTATTAAATGTTATCAGTTGTGTTTAGTAGTTCTTTCTCAAAATATACTACTAAAATTTAAATAAAATACTGTAAATCTCAGTTTATTATGTATTATTTTATTTATTTATTAGTGCCATTCTAATTTTTTACTTTTACCATCTATGTGTTGTATCACCAATTAAGTATCCAAAAATTCAGAGACTGCAGTATTTATTTTATTTACTCCGGAAGATGTTCATACCTTTAAGAGACTTCTGAAGACCTTAGAGATTACTCTGAATACTTTGGTATACTTAGGAAACTAAGATGATCCATTTGAAGATTCAGCTTAGTTTACTCAGTGTACTGTCATATGCGTTACGAATATTACGGAAGACGTTCAGGTAAACATTGGAGATTATGTATACAAGTTAGAATACTATTTGGTATACTTTCAATACCGTTTGGAATACTATTTCGAGTATTCCGATTACTGCGTATACTTATTCGAATATTATTCATTTTATCTCGGGCCTTTTTACGAAATGTTGTATAAAAGTGTTCTTCCACAGTACCCTTAAAGTGTTCCTAAATAGGTTCCTACATGGTAACCTTAAAAAGATCATTTAAAAATTTGTACGTACCTTTTTGTTGCTAAATAAT